AGCTGGAAATATAACTCCCACCTCCTGACAAAGTGCACCCTGTCTCCTAATGTCCCCATCTTTAGGGGCCTCCATAGTACTGCACAGCTGTTCTCTTCCCAGGCGTCTCTACCCACTTACAGGCCGCATTGGACTTGATTCTGGGAGGAGCCTGCTTGTTTTGGAGGTGGGAAGAGAGGCGGGACAGGGGACAACTTGTTGTCTGGGGGCTTCCAGCTCTTCTGTTCTTTTGACATGTCTTTAGAATTGCCAGCTGAGAGTTCTTTGGTTGGTTAGAAGCTTTAAGGTATAGTGAAATACTGGTCCCAAGGCAATAGAGGGTTAAAATAATCTGTAAGAGCAGAAATCAGCAAACATTTTCTGTAAAGGGCCATTTAATAAACATTCTTAGGCTTGGCAGGCCATAGTGTTTGTCTCAGCAATTCAGTGCTGTCACTGCAAACAGAGAGCAAACACAGTCAAGAAAGAAGAGAACAACACCTGTGACCAGATTTGGTTCACTGGTCATACTTTGCCAATCCCTGCACAGGAAATAAATACCAACCTCCTTGTCATCTTTCCAGATCAGCTGCATCTAAATGTCCTAGTACTCTGCTTTGTTCCTGATTCAAGTTGCAATTAGTAATTTGTGAAAAGCAATGCGTAGCCAAGTCTTGCTCTTTTTTTTTTTTCTTTCTTGCAGTGCCTGGAATTGAACCCAGGGCCTTTAACATGGTAAGCAAGCTGTTTACTGCTGAGTTATAGCCCAAGCTCTCTTCCAAGTCTTCACTTTATTAATATCACTGATTTGTCATCAAAAGAGTCATTAGAAAATAAACGAGTTCAATTTGTCAGGTGTGGTGGCACACACCCGTAATCTCAGCATTCAGGAGGCTGAGGCAGGAGAATCAACACTTTAAGGCCAGCCTGGACTACACAGCAGGACTGTCTCAAAAAAAAAGGTTCAAGGCTGGCAGAGTTAAGGTGGCATAGCAAGCATGAGGCCCTGAGTTCAAATCCAAGTACCGCAAAATAAATAAAGGTTCAGAGTTGGGCACCATGTTATCTGCCTGTAATCCCGGCTACTTAAGCGGCTGAGGCAGGAGGATCAGAAGTTTCAAGTCAGCCTGACAACTTAGTGAGTCCTCCCTCAAAACAATGTTTCCATATTAAATGCCTTTGGGACCTCAAATTTTCATTTTATATACAGTGAACATTTTTCTGTGTTAAATATTTTCCTGCAACATCATATTTATTAGCTGGCAGCCTAATAAACATGGACGCACCATGCTTAAATTAACATTAGGTTGTTTCCAATTTTTGTCCTTATAAACACCACTGCTATGGACATTTTTGTAGAGAAAGCTTTCAATACATTCCTGATAGACTTCTTTCAAGTCCAAAACTTTTTCATAGGTTCTGCAGTTATTCTGTTTGGCCAACAGAGGGCATTTTCAGCTTTCTGTCTCTGAGCCAGGCCATGAAGCTATATCTACAGTACATAAAAATAAAAAAGTGGTTTCACTGTGAACATGACTCAATTTTTGGATCTTCAGGAACAACCAACAGAGTCCAAAGAGAGAATAAAGGTCATCTATTTTTCAAACAAGATTAAACACACCACATACCCAACCCTTGGAGTAACAAGCTGTTTTGTTAAGATTTAAACCCCAAAGGAGTAAAACTCTCTTTTGTCCAGTTCAGAGTAACTAAGGGAGTGTTCTCTCCTTTATTGTGAAGACACAGATCTCTGTAGAAGATTTCTCTGAACTGTGACAAATTAGAGGGAAAGCAACTCAATCCCGAAAACACTGTGCCTAAGAAAAACCAGACGGTCTCAGGATTTGTAGTTCCCAAAAACACTGATTTTTTTTTTCTTTTTCCTTTTTTTGGTGATAGTGGAGTATGGCATCTGTATGATTTTTCTTTCTTTTTTTTGAAGATAGAATCTCAACTATGTACCTCAGGCTGGCCCAGAACTCACAATCCTGCCTCAGCCTCTAGAGTGCTAGGATTACAGGCCTCTGCTACCACCTCTATGTCAAAGTTTTCTACAAAGGAAGAAGTTTAAAAATTTCTAAACAGATAATTTATAAGAGAAAACAATGGATAAGGGGCCTGGGGCTGGTGGAGTGGCTCAAGTGGTAGAGCGCCTGCCTAGCAAGTGTGAGGCCGTGAGTTCAAACCTCAGGACTACCCAAAAAAAAAAAAAAGTCAGAAGGGAACTGAACTTGCCTATCTAACATACATTCAGTGCAAAATCTTCCATTTTAAATTTTGAGTAGAGATTTTTGAATTTATATTATAATTATTATTTTGCCTCTCATCTCAAGTAGTGTGTCAGATCAAGCAAGGCTGTCTCAGAACCATAACACTACACAGGAAGATGTGTTTTGTTTTTCTCTGACACTTTCTACCACTGTTCTTCAAATACAGCCCTATAGAACTTCACATCCAGCTCTTAGAAACATAGACTTTTTTTTTATTTTTGGTACTTCTGGGGTTTGAACTCAGGGCTTCCTGCCTGCAAGCAGGCGCTCTACCACTTGAGCCATGTTTCCTACCCAGAAGTACCAATTTTGAGGTAATACTGAAGTCTTGCCTAGCCTACTTCTTACCTAGATCAACCAGCTAGTTTTTTGTAGATAATACTGTAAATTTTGTTAGGTTATGGTTGAAATAAGTGCTTTTGTCTATTTTTCTTGATTTTCACCAAGATCACAAAGTCTTAAGGGCAGCTGGTCTGCCTACATTTCTCGGCATACCCAAATATGCCCACCAAATTACTAAGTACTGGGGGGTACTTACAAAGCTGTCACTAGACACTAATGTTGAGTTTCCATTCTTGTGCACAGATGATCGTTAAGAGGGAGACTAATAGTTAAGCACAGGCGCCAGAGCCAGGCTGCCTGTGTTTGTGGCCGGACCCATCCGTCGCTTCCTGGCTGGACAACCCTGAGCAAGCACTTTATTTCCCTGAGCCAATGTTTCATCGTCTACCACCTACCCAGAAGGGAGATCAGGAGGATTAAATGTTGGGATGTGATGGTCTTCTCTCCCCTTCTGATCGCTCTACTGGGGTAAATGACCTCTGGCCCCCAAAGCTGAGGAAACAAGCAGTATCTACCCATCTATCTACATACCTATCTATTGAGCATTATATAAAGTTGGTTTTCCTGCTATTTGGAGGTTGAAGCAGATGACCAAGACTTCACAAGGAAACTTAAGATGGGTGAGCCCTTCTGAGGCAGAAACTTCCCAGGTGGAGTGAGATGTGGTGTAGACAATGAAGAGAACGGGAGCCAGGAGTTTAGAGGTTTATATGTAACTAGTATAAGCAATCAAATTTGGTTTAGGAGAAAAGGAGTGACTTAAAACACAGTGGTGTAGCCAAGCACAGTGGCTCATGCCTGTAATCCTAGCTACTCAAGAGGCTGAGATCGGGAGGATGGCAATTTAGGTCAGTTTGAGCAAAAAGTTCATGAGACCCCACCTCAACCACTGGCTGGGCATGGTGGTGAGCACGTGTCATCTGAACTATGCGGGCTATCTCAAAAATAACCAACGCAGGACTGGTGGAGAGGCTCAAGTGGTAGAGCGCCTGTCTAGCAAATATGATGCCCTGAGTTCAAACCACAGTACTGCCAAAAAAAACAAAAATTCAATGCAAAAAGGGTTGGTGAAGTGGCTCAGGCGGTAGAGCACCTGCCCAGCAAGCACAAGGATCGAAGTTCAATACCCAGACTACCTAAAACAAAACCAAAAGCCCATAGTGTTGAACATACGGCCAATCTGGCAGCAGCGTTGATTTTAAATTGAGGGAGATAGGGCTGGGGAGTCCCATGGAAAGGATATTCACTCAGGCTTAGACCTGAGTACCAGGTCACTGTGGCACTAGCAGGGGTAGGGGTGGATTGTGAGTGAGTTAAGCTGGACGAGCCTCAGTCTCCTTATCTGTAAATGGGACGTATGTAAGGAGGCTCCTGGGAAGATTAATCACTCATCAAGCATTTTACTGGGTTTCTAGAAATTTCTAATTTGCTAGGTGCCAAGACAAGAAAAGACACAGCCTGTCTTCCAGGAACTATCTAGTAGGAGAGTGAACAGAAAGTCAATACGGGGATGAAAAGTTGCAGGTGCTGAGTACTGTGAGGAAGCCAGACAGGAGGGGATGCACTCTGATTCAGGAGGTCAGGGAAGTTGTTTCTGAAGAAGGAGAACGCACAGAGTTCAGAGGAGAAGGTAGTGCCAGGCAAGGAGCAGAGGGCAAGCACTGCAGGACAGACCCACATGCATAGGGAATACAGTGAGAAGAGCCAGCCAAGGGCTGGGACCGTCTCAAGGGGACTCTGGCTGTTCTGCAGGAGCCACTTGGGAGTTTTAGATGGGGAGAGCAGGGGGCAAGATTTGGAACAGGGATACTGTTGGGAGGGTGTCTGTTGTAATAGTGGTGGGTGGTGATGTTTCAGGGAGGGGCAGAGGCACTGGAGGGAAGTGGATGGTTCAAGGAATACTTGGAAAGCAGGAACAAAGATCTTGCACATGGATGTGAAGAGGGAGGAAAAGGGGGAAGCCAAGTATGACCCTGAGGTTTCTGGCTGCATGACAGGGGAGAAAAGATTGCAGTTAGTGACATGGATGTGACAGGTTTTGGGGGCCTGGATCACAGGTCAGATACCCCACACATGGAACTCAATGGGATGAGTTCACCTCTTCATTGTGTTCCATAGTAGTGGCTTCTAGAAAACAGCTGGAAACAATAACTATTCTGTCCTTAAATACAGTGTGTCCCTCTGAAATAAATTACAGAAAAACCTACTAAGAAATGACAGTGCCCAGTTACATCTACAAGGCAGCCAATGGAAGGGACTCTGGTTTAACTGATTGCTATCTGATGAGGGCTTTTGTGTCCCTGAAATGCTGTTAATGAAAACACGTAACTACTAGAGTGCTTCCCATTTAAAGCTTTTATTTTGAAAAATAAAATACAAAAGTTATTAAGTTGTAAATGTATACGGTAATTTCCCAACCTCTCAGAAACAATACAATGAATTATTTAAATAATTAAGATATTCAGTATTATCCACATCAGTACATTTAAACGGCATGAGTGCTCTATGAAACACTGGAACACGTAGACAACCTAGTCCAAAATGAAATGCCCAGTTTTGCTCACGGAATGCCATTTTTAAGCCGCCCCTTGAACACAAAGTCTGGAATCTGGAGGAAGAGGGGGTACAAGAGCAGTTGTAGCAGAAGCACAAGCCCCCTGGGCTCTTCTCCATGGGGCTGTGGTGTCACTGGTAAGAGTGCCTTGCTCAGGAATCAGGTGTGTGACACCTCCACCCCTCAGTGGGAGGAGGTTGGTGAAGAACAGGAGCCATGCACACATCCCACTGCTCTTAGGAGGGGTTGAGGGCCACGCTAGGAAGTTCCCTTCCATTCAAAAGGCAGCAGTTTCTCCTAGACAAACAGAAAGTGGTTCAGGGGGTCACAGTCTGCCCTGCCTGCATCATGCCCTGCTCCTCCCTGCAGTTCAAGGGTAGAGGACAGAGAAGACACAGTGGCCTGGTCTCTGTGGCAGCGGCGAGAAGCACACCCTACCTCAGCCAAGTAACTCCTAGTGCAAAACAAGCAGTGACAGTCACAGCAAGGGCCGCCATCACCTGCAGCTGGAGCTGCCCCAGGCCGCATGCTGACTCGTCTTCACATGAGAACGTGCACACTATGGTTCTTTTAAAGCAGCTTCAGAGAACACGGTCACTGTTCCTCAATGTCAGAGGCGTGCACAAGACAAGAGGGAAGTCCCCAGCTCCTTCTCACTGCAGGTGGGCACCACAGGCCTCAACAGCAAGCCAGGGTGAGAGTCCACTGTGGGAGCCTGGGGTCAGCGAATACTGCCATCTGTCTCATCAAACAGCTGGACAGTAAATGAGTCCGTGTTTGTGCTGGTGTGGGAAGAGCATTACCTGTATGTTCTGAAAGGCTTTGGATGAATAAAATGACCCCATGTCTGTCGACTGATGTCGACAGAGCATAAGCTTCTTAGTAAAAAGGCCACTGTAATATCAGCTCACATTTCATATCCCATGATTACGAAATAGCAGTGTCCAAGTGACAGCAAGTCACAAAAACCTCCCAGATTACCCAGCTTCAGTACTCTCATGTAGTACAACACGGAGCACCCTCTCTTCCATGTGGCTGTGAGAACTGAATGAGATTTCCCATCATTTTGTCAGTATAACTTATATATGTAAAATACTGGCATGGAGTGCATGCTTAGTACATGGTTACTAATTACATAAAATAGAAATCAGCAAGCAAAACTATGAATATCAGTATCAGAGGGTTTTTGGTGGCACTGAGGTTTGAACTCAGGGCCTTATGCTTGTGTGCCTTGCTCTGACACTTCAGCCACACCTCCAGCCCTTCAGATTTTTAGAAAAGCTTCAAAGTTCCAAACTATCTAAAGCACTGCCACATTGTTCAGAGCAAAACAGAACTTTAACAAAGTACAGGAGAGTGTGAGCTCTGAGCAGCTGTTAGGAGGTCTGGTTTAGAAACCAGCTTTGCCACCACCGAGCAAGCTGGTGTTCCTGGATGCAGCTGATGATGGGCAGTACTTGGCTATAAAGGGGTCTGGGAAGGCACAGCTGGCCTAGCTCCCCTGGAGCCCTCAGCCACACAGTAACAATGCAGTTTACAAACATAACACACCATAATACATTAGAATGAGCCAGGCCCGACCTGAAAAATCAACAAACAAAAAAAAAATTTGTGTATATGCGTTTGTGTGTGCACATGCACCCACATGCATGCAAAAACCTATGCAAATACAACCCAGAGAAAACAGCAGAAGCCATGGCTGGAAGCCAGGAGACAGTGCTCTTCAGCTCCAGGTTCTGCTCGCTCTGAGGCACAGCCTGCACAAATGACCTGCTCTGTCTCCTCATGAGCAAACAGGTGATTGGGTTTCAGTGCTGCCAGGTCCCTTCAGCTGACATCTGTTACCATTTTCAACCCCTCTTCAGAATGAAAACTATGTCTGTGCTCATTCTGCCAGGCTTTGAAGACACTGTTATGGTTAAATGGTTAAATTGGCACTAATTGCTCATTAATATCCTCTTCATCGTCCAGATGAAGAGATTAAGACCCAGAGTCAAGTAATTGGCTCAATGCCACACAGCGAGTGTCAGCCACCCCAGAAAGGTGCCCTCTCCTCAGGCCACACTGCCTCCTCTGACAGCCCAAGTGGGAAACCCCAACCCCGCGACCTCCATCAAGCTCACCTGGGGAGAGAAGGCCACTCCAGGCTGTGCTACTGCACTTGCTCGGTCTGTTGAAGGAAGCACAGGCAGGGTGTTGAGAAGTCTGTGAGGCGCCAGCAGCGTCAGGCATGCATGCCCTCTGCTCAGACTTGCAAAAAGCCTGGTCTACAACTGCTGGGTAATAAGGATCGGCCTTTCCCCGAGCTCCAGGAAGGACACAGGCCCTCAGAATTTCCCGAGCTCCAGGAGCCCGTTGGTCACACCTGAGCACATGCTAAGAGATGAGGACACTCAGGATAACCAAGCTCCAGGGGAACTCTGGTGCTGAATCAAGGGAGCTTCCTGGCTGTGAGCACTCCATGTGCTGGGAAGGCAGAATGCCCATCCTGGGGGCAGGCCTTGTGTCTCTTCATCTGCCAGCTCTGATATGTATCCTTTACAGTAAAACTGAAATTGCAGGTGGGGTGCTTCCCTGAGTTCTGCCAGCCTTTCTAGCTAGGTATCAAATCCACAACAGTGCTGTGGGTTTCCGTCTCTCAGGTAAACCACAATCCTCCCCAGACCTCTAGAACATGCTGCATTAACCAAAGCTGACCCCACAATGGGGTTCTAAGGTGTCTCCCAGGCTCTTGTCCTTGAAAAATGTCTTTTTCTTATTGATTTGTAGGAATTGTCTACATTCTACAAATGAGTCCTTTGTTTTAAATATTTTCTCCTTTTTCTCAGTGGTACTGAGGCTTGAACTGAGGGTTTCATGCTTGCTAGGCAGGTGCTCCACCACTTGAGCCACTCCCTAGATGGTTTTTAATAAGTAAATACTCTTATTTATATTTAATAAATAACTAGTCTCAATTCTAATGTGGCAACTTGTCCATCTTTAAATTAACAATTAGCACTTTTATGACTTAAATCTTTTCCTCTTCAGGTCATGAAAATACTCTCCTGTATATCTTACAACAATTTCATTGTTCCTTCTTTCACAGTTAGGTCTGTAATCTACCTGGAAATGACTTGTGTATGCTGTAGAGCATGGGTGTCCCTTGAATTTTACTCTCAAATTCCTTTTTTTTCCTCTTTTGGGTGGTACTGGGGTTTGAATTCAGGAACTCTCACTTGTGAGGCAGGTGCTCTACTGCTTGAGCCATGCTCCTTTTTGCTTTAGTTATTTTTCAGATAGAGTCTCCCGTTTCTTTTTGCCAAACTGGTCCTGGATTACTGGGATTAAAGACTTGCTCCACCACATCCAGCATTTTTGTTGAGTTGGGTCTCAACGTTTTGCCAGGGGTGGTCTTGAACTGTTTATCCTCCCAATTTCTGTCTCCTGAGTATCTGTGGGCAAACGTGCCTAGCCTTCAAATTCCCTTTTTTGACTTCAGACTTATTATGAGAACCATTCCTTCAAGCCTGCCTCCATTTACATAGTCCCATGAGGGATTCCACCCAGGTTCTTAGGACATGACCATAACCAGCCTGTGTACGGGGCCCTGCACCCCTCTGTCTGCAGAAGTTGATCAGTCTTGAAGATTGCAGGAGTTCCTTGAGAAGACTTTCTTTTCTAACTCCTGAGGACTTTAATTTCTTACTCTAACAGATACTCAGTAAACATGTGCTGAATGAATGAAATGAATGCATGAACACTAAGCTTGGGCTAATAAGAATATGCCTTGAAAGTTCTCTGAAATTCTCTAGCAATGTGTCTCAGTCCCTGATGGCTGCTATCACAATGGGTAGCTCAGACAAAGCCCGTCTCTGGTGTGAGACACGCAGCCCATTCAGTTCCTTCACAATCAACACAACTTCACACAAGCCTGGGAGGTGGTGCCTCCCTCACCAGTTCCATATCTGGAACCTTTCTAGACTGAGTCTAGTACTGAGTCTTGTTAGCCTAGAGACAATGCACACGTTCACTGTGTGGGAAGGGAAGTGTGGACCTCTCCACAGGATGACCCGAGATGGTCAGAGGCTGCTCTAGACATCAGCCATAATACTCTCTGCTTTTCTCCAGCTCAGGAAACAAATAGAATGCATGTGAGTGTGACTTTACAGGTACAATTCTGGATTGGAATGAATTAATTTTTAAAAGAGTACAAGTTACAAGCTTCAAACTCTCACCAGTCTCTCTGAGGGCCAACGGCTATGTACAAAACATATTCATAAGTCTTCTAGTTTGCAAGTAAGAAAACTTAAGAGACAATGGATGTGAATGTAGTAAGAACAAAGAGAGTGGGTGGACATTTTTATTACAAATTAGATCATCAGGAGGCTGGGCAGATTCATCAAGACACACCCTTGATGTGAAGTATTGTGTGGCTTGTGTGTGACATCAAACAATTAAATTCTGTTATCAATAAACAACTTCTGTAGTTTTGGAAGACATTGAACTCTCTGAAATTAAGACTGTTGAATTATTAAATCAGCATACTAGACACAATCTTTCCACCACCAACACATATTGTTATCTTTTTTCTAATTTTCTTTATTTTTGTCTTTTTAATTTCTCTTTAAAAGACTGCTTTTATGTTAGGAGCCCACCTCTTACACAGCAAGAGGAAGAAACAGACACAGTATACAGTACCTGGGGATTTTCTTTAAGAAAATCAGGTAGCTGAAATTCTCCTTTGTAGACCTGGAAAAAAGTAAAGCAAAAGTTAGCTGAGGAAGACAGGTACCATCAGCTTCAGTTCAGGGCCCCTATAATAGCACCTGGGAGTGACTGGGTTACTGCTGTATTATGTGAGTTTGGAATGGAAGAGAAGCCAGCAGGGCAGGACTGAGTGAAATCACCATTCATCCTGCTCCCCTGCTGCGTGACTGCCTGAGTGCTCTGGGTGGGCTGGCCAGGGCAGGGCTCATATCAGCTGGGGAAGAAAAAAACAAAAGCACCCAGACATGCCTAGTCCCAGCAGTATTAGCTGAGAGAAAGCAAGTCCCAGGCAACATTGTCAGGTGGCCATCACGAGATTCACACGGCTTAGGGACAAACACCTTCTGGCTGCCTCCTGAGTCTCCACGGTTACAACTTTACTTTCCTCAGTTTACTCCATGTTCCTATGATGATGTGAGTATTAAATGATTCTTAAAGTAGCATCTGCTTTAACTTCATCAAATATTATACAAAACTTTTTCAAGCCAGGTACTAGTGGCTCACACCTATAATGCTAGCTATTTGGGAGGCTGAGATTGGGAGGATTGAAGTTTGAGGCCAATCTGGGCAAATAGTTGTCAGGATCCCATCTCCAAAATAAACAGAGCAAAATGGCCTGGTAGTAGAGCACCTGCTTTGCAAGCTCAAATCCCTGAGTTCAAACCACCCCAGGCCCATCAAAAAAGAAAAAGAAATGAAACTTTTTCGTTACTTAAAAACCATGTTTGCAATACAAGCAAAGTTTAGAAAACAAGTTAAATAACCAATGCTATTTACAGTAACATAACCCGCAGCTGTCCAAGAAGAGACAGAGTAAAAGATGCGTGAGACCTTTATGCAGAAAACTCAAACACTACTGTGATAAACACCCAGACAAATAAAGAGGCACACCCTTTTCAGAGACAAGAAGGCTCAGTGCAATGCTGTCCACTCGACTTAAATTATCCCACTGACAATTCTAGCACACTTGGTTTTGGAGGGGAGAAGGGGAATTTCAAGCTGATTTTAACAGTTATGTGGAAATGTTTAGGACAAACAGACAAGGAAATCTTGACAAGAAAAACATGGTGGGGGGACTTACTCTACCAGACATCTAGAGTTATTTATAGAGCTGCAACCAGACTATATGCTATAGTTAAATACGTAAGCAAAACTAATTAGGAGAGTAAGGCTTGGCACAGGATGGGCATATCAGAAAAATGGAAGGAAGAGAAACGGGTGCTATTTACAGATACTTCATTTACGACAAAGGCGGCATTGCAGGCAATGCCATTAGAGTGGACAAATCAATAAATATGCTCAATGCATATGATGACATACTTTACAGAACTAAAAACATGAACTACTGTTACCCTCTCAATGATGTGGGCAAATCACAGCACATACAGTCTTGATGCGGGTAGTGGTTATGAAGGTGTGCTCATTTTGAGATCATTTATTGAGCTACTCCTGGTGTGATTATATGTATGCATACTTCAGTAACAAAACTCAATGTGCAAATTAAGTCAGTGGTTTAGAGTTAAAAATTTACTGCTTGCTGGGCATGGTGGTTCACCCCTGTAATCCCAGCACTCAGGAGGACGAGGCAGGAGCATTGCCAGTTCAAGGCCAGTCTGAGTTACACAGTGAGACTCTGTCTCTCAAAAAAAAATTACTGCTAAAACGCAGACACACATTTACTATTCACAATAGTAAAAAATGCTTACAAACTATTAATGTTAATAAAGGGTAGAGAAGCATTCCATTAGAAAAAAAATCTGTCAACCACTGAATTTGGTTGATTGTACAAGAACCTTAAGGGTATTTCCTGGGAAAAGAGCCCTGGGTGGCCCCTCAGAGAACAGAGAAACCCTTTAAACAGTGAATGCTAAGCCTCTAATCCTGCCATTCCTCCCTTTTGCTGATTAAAAGATTGCTGATCTACTTGTGTGCCAGGCTGTGTGCCTTGTGAGACCAGGGAATGAGCAGTCATGCTCTTCTGCCGTTTCTAAAGCCTCACCTACCTTCAGGGCCTGGTAGAAGAGCATGGTGTAAGGAGGCTAAATTAAACAGAGGCACAGACTTATGGATAAGCAATTTCCCAGAGGAGCTGCAGCTGGCTAACCTCTCAGAGGCTACCATCCTTTTCCCCTCACCACAAATGTCTCAGGCCCTGGGGGATGGCTAACTGCTTCCAGAGAAATCCATGCCTAGGAACCCTGTTTGCCCCACCTGACACCACAGCCCAGAGACTGTCCAGCTTGCTCAGGTAGGCCCTGAGAGCTGTTCACCAAGCAAGTGCTGATTTCCTACTGTTTGTAGGGTAGGCAGGCACTACACCCCATGCCAGGCTCAAGCCACTAGGTTGGCTTTTAATTTTTATTTTTTACCAGATTCTAAGTGTCTTTACTTCTCCGAAGTGGCCACATCCCAAGACCCTGCCTGGCTATGTTTGGTAGGTGGCCCAACGGTCCCTGCCTCTGGCACTGGCAACAGTGCAAAGTCTTTACCTTGAGACTTGCTTCTAACAGCCAGAGCATGGCAAAAGTGACAGGATGCTACTTCTGACATTGGGCTACAGACGTCTCATCTTCTGTGTGGAGCACCCCTTCTTGTTGGCTTGCTCTAAGGGAAGTCAGCTGCATGTTGTGAACTGCAAAGGTGTAACAGCTCCAGCTAACAGCCACACAAGTGAGCTACAAGTAGATCCTCTCCCAGTTGGGCCTTGAGGTGACTACAGCCCTGCATGACAGAGCAACTGCAACTCTATGAAAGACCCTGAGTTGGGGCAGAGAGCTAAGCTACACGTGTACTCCTGATCCACAAAAACTGTGAGGTAATACAGGTTTGTTGCCTTAACTGCTAATACGTCTTAGAGGGACTTGGTATACCTCAGCAGACAATCAACCAATCCAGGAATGGAATTATGTTAAACAGATACCTAAAATGCGGAGCAGTCTTAGAATGGAGCAGTTGGTGGGAGCTAGAACTTTAGAATAGTGGGAGAAGACTAAGTTATCCACTGAGTTGCATGTGCTGGACTTTAAAGAGGCTGTCTACGAACGTTTTAAGGAATGTGAGGGACATCTGATTGGAAGATCTTTGTCATGTGGCTCCCCAAAGTTTAGTGACCCTATCTATGTAGATAAGTAGAAAGCAGAAATGTGCCTAGACAGTCCACCTAAAGAAGCTTCTGAGCAAAGTGCTCAAGGACTGACTGCTTTCTTCTTTGTGTTTTTAGTAAGATGCAAGAGAAGAATTTAAGGGAAGGACTGTAAAAAAAAAAAAAGTATTTACAAAAATAGGTGGCAGGCCAGATTTAGCTTGTAGGCTGTGATTTGCCAATCTCTGGTTTAACTAAAAACAATCCCTTCAAAATAAGACTACTGTAATCAACCTCCAGTAATATATATTCATGCCCACACTAGGTACTAAGCACTATATTTGACACTGTAGACTTTAAGGTGTTGCTTGTGCTCAGTATTCTTCATAATAAATATATATTTGTTTGTAGTGCTAGGGATTGAGCCCAGGACCTTGTGCATTCTAGGTAAACACTCTACCAGCCCGTGTATGTTTGTAAACTCCAAAGATTAAAAGGTTAGTCTGACAATCAAAGGTTTGAGTTCAAAATTCACTATAAACTCAAATCTAATTTATTCTCCCCTCTTCTTTCTATAAACTCACTATAAACTCAAATACAATTCTGGCTTCTTTCCTTTCAATTATACTCAAGTACAGAGAACTGGATTAACTGTAATTCTGCAGAGAACTGGATTAATTATAATTCTTAGTTCCTGACAGACTTTCATCATTAATCCATGCTTGCCTGTTATTATGTATTTAGTAATATAATTCATTATTGTTAATAATGCAGTGAGCAATCCCCCTTGAGGAATTACGACTTGATAGTTTCACGTGCAGAGAAAACAGTTAACTCCAGCCAGGGAAGATAACACAGGAAGAAATCTAGCTTTTGAAATTTCTTCCTTAATCCCTCTGGGCTTTTGTGGCCCAGTAGAGACTCATTATCCCTAAAACACAAATCCTGTAGAACAGCTGAAAACATGCATGTTTACACATTCTCATTTGACTTTGAATATTTTGGCAACTTTGCAAATCACAGGCTGGGTTCTTGGAAAGTTCAACAGTCTTGTCCTGTCTAGAAACAATGGGATAAATATTACTACTTCTTAAATCAAGAAGAAAAATAATCAGCTCAGAAGCATGACATTCCAGCCCAAAAATATCTTTAATAAAAAGAAATGATTCAGTATAAAGACTATTAAGTGAAGATGGACAGAATGTGGATTAAATTGGGGATGTGGAGCAAGTGTAAAACAAAAAATCCTTCCGATCACAGAAAGCTGCGTGAATGTAAGAAACAGCATTAAGACTTTCATTTCCTGGGCAGTAGACTTAAACAGACATTTCTCAAAACAAGACAACAAATGGCCAGAATGTACATGAAAAAATGCTCACTGTCAGTAATCAAGAGTAATGCAAATCTAAATCATAGTAAGAGCCCAGTGCCAGTGGCTCATGCCTGTAATCCCAGCTACTCAGGAGGCAGAGATCGGGAAGACAGTGGTTCAAAGCCAGCCCCGGAAATAGTTTATGATAACTTATCTCGAAAAAACCCATTGGAAAAAAGACCTGGTGGAGTTGCTCAAGTGGTAGAGTGCCTTTGTAGCAAGCATGAGGACCTGAGTTCAAGCCCCAGTAACACTAAAAAAAAAAAAAAAAAAAAACACAAATCAATGTAATTTAAATTTTTTTTAAAAAAGAAATGTCATTTGGCCATAGGACACTTATTAGATAGGAATGGAAAGTAATTTCTATTCAAAGGAAATGATACATGTGGTGGTCAATCTTTTTTTTTTTTTTTTTTTGGCAGTACTGGGGTTTGAACTCAGAGCCTCATGCTTGCTAACCAGGCACTCTACCACAGAATCCATGTCTCAAGCCCGTGATGGTCAATCTTGACTGGAATGAGAGATGCC